GTCTCTTCATTACCCTTCCATTTTCTTCCACAAACCATCTCCATAAACATCCCTGAACATGTTCATGCTGGAGTGAGCCACCATTGTTGAAGAATTGGAGCTTTCCAAGTGAAGTTGCAAGAGAGCAAAAGGGATTGAATCTGAAGATACAAGCCATCTCCATCAAATCTTGTGCAAGAAGAGTGTTATTCATCACCTAGGGACCATTTGTGAAGATCTACAAGGATTGATTCGAAGCCTTTCAACATCCACCATTGCAAGAGGCAAGGTATGCAAAACTGTTCTTACCTCTCACTTTAGGCATGGCTAGGATTAGTTCTTGTTGGAAAACCATTAGTGACAATTAGGTGATTAATCATGGAAAGTTATAGGGCCATTGGTGAAGATTGAAAATTTGACATGATTCTTTAATGGTCAAGAACTCATTGGATAGAGAGTATTATTTCGTGTGCTATAGCTTAGGATGATGAGCATAACATGAGGATTAATTATATATAAAGATTGTTGAGTTTTGTGATGGTGGAAAATTGAAGAAAGTTTGGATCCATGGAGTTGTGTGGTTCGGTTTGCATGGTGTAGTTAGTTTCAACGAAATCCAAAGGCATGGTTGGATTCTACATAAAATTCTAGTCAAGTTTGGTTCTTGGATTGTGTCATTTGATGGAGAAATGAGAGAGAACAAGTGGTGGAAAGTTTCATGCATGGAGTTTGTTTTTTTCATGGATTCTAAAACCCTAGATGGACCAAGGTTGAAGACATAATCTAGACCATTGATTGTATGTGGACTTGTTGACTTGGAAGACCATCCTGCGGCCGAGATTTTATTAAACTTCAAAAATTCATAATAAAATGAAAAATGAATATATTTTAATGCAAATTTTTTTCCCAATTTTTATTTTCTGTCTAGAAAAATATAAAATCATAAAATAGTCAGTTTATTTCAGTTTTATATTTTTTGTGCATTTTTACTCTTAATTGCTTTTTTTAATTCTTTTAGTTGGTATACTAACTTGTAGAATTTAATTAGGGTAGTTCCCTTAGGATTTTTGATTCAATTTTTTTAGGATGATTAGATGAATGGTTTAGGGTCCCCCTGAATTAATTTCATAATTTTGTGATAATTTTTAGGGTAGTTTTAATTAGGTAGTTCTAGGTAGTGTAGAATTTGATTAAAACTTTAGCATAGGATCATAACAATTTTAGATTTAGGTTTTGTAGGGCAATTTAGTCTATGGGGAATATATGGGACTTAAGGGTAGTTATGTAGGGTCCCCTAGAATTTATATTAGGAATTAATAGAATAATATGCTATTTTTAGTTGATTTTTGAATTGAATGATTGTTTGTGTGGCCTTTAGGGCAAGTTTTGTTAGTTTGCTTTGCTTTGGGGTATTCCTTTGATTGGAGGAGCTTGGCATCTCATTGTGGGGCTTAGTGGAGCATACTAGAGGATTGGAGGAGGCATGGATTGAAGGCCTGGTTTAGGAGCTTGCTCTCTTTCTGTGAGGTTTGAGACCCTGGAGTCTGAGGGAAGTTCATGGTACTTTCCTGAGGAAGGCACTATGGATGTCTTTCATTCTTTCTTCTCACCTCTTTCCCAAGTATCCAATGATGTTGGAGCCTTCATGTGAGTTTAGTTTCTCCTGAGGAGGAATGTAAACTGATCACAGTTGTTGAGCCACATGGGATATGATTCCTAAGTGGAAGCCCCCTAGTACTTTCCTGAGGAAGGCACTATGGGTCTGTTCACTTAGTTCTCTTAGTTCATGTAGGATTTCTCAAGTATCCAATGATGTTGGAGCCTTCATGTGAGTTTAGTTTCTCCTGAGGAGGAATGTAAACTGATCACAGTTGTTGAGCCACATGGGATATGATTCCTAAGTGGAAGCCCCCTAGTACTTTCCTGAAGAAGGCACTATGGGTCTGTTCACTTAGTTCCCTTAGTTCATGTAGGATTTCTCAAGTATCCAATGATGTTGGAGCCTTCATGTGAGTTTAGTTTCTCCTGAGGAGGAACGTAAACCGATCACAGTTGTTGAGCCACATGGGATATGAGTCCTAAGTATAAGCCTCCTAGTGCTTTCTTGAGGAAGGCACTATGAGTCTGCCTACTTAGCTCCCTTTCTTTGGTAAGCTTGTTTTGAAGCTTGAAGACTGGGATTGATTTCTATTGATTAGGGTTTTGCTTTAGGGCTTTGCTTAGAGGTAGATTAGGGTTTTGTTTTTAGGGTTAGGATTAGGGAGAGCATAGATGTAGATAATTTCTTTCTCAAACATGGATGGTATTTCGTTTCTTTTATCTGTATGATTGCAATTTACTGTTTATTGCTTGATAGCATGTTGTTTATTTTTCAGTATGATTACTGTTATTTCATGACTGGCTTGAGGTCGAGACGAGCTTGTGGAGGCTGAAGCCCCACACACATTTCCTCCCTCACTTGCATTGCATGCATTTTACTGTTAAGCTGATGCTTTGTCTGTTTTGGTGTATCATTGGCATGATCCCTTAGGACTCTCATTCACTACAAGAAAAAAGGAGATTTACGACACTTTAGTTGCGACAGTTATCACAAAACCGTCCTTATTCCTGGATTGTGACGGTTGTCACGACAGTTAGGGTCAACTGTCGTAGATTTTTTGCGACAATTATCAAAAAACCGTCCTTATTCCTGAATTACGACAATTCTCACAACCGTCGTTAACATATTTAATGTTTTGCTCACGGGTTCGATTCCCTCTTAGCATATTTTATCACTACGTGAAGTTTAACGTAAACTATTATTAGATTCTCACTTGACAATTTACTTTCTTTCTTTCTAAGTTTCTTAAACCGTATTGCAGCTTCTTTCTCCCAAAATCAAAGAGAAAACCCTTACCACTTTAGTTTCCTCAAATTTTAACCACAAGACAAACTCAATTTTTCTCCTAAATAAACAATTTTTTAGAAAATTTTCTTCTTTACACAAAATTTCCCAATCTTTTCTCGCGAATCGAATTTGAAGGGTTTTCATAGAGTACGACTTTGAAGGGTGTTACTCATAGTCATAGAGCATGGATTGCAGGTTGTTTCATAACACAAATTTGGAGGGTGTTTTTTGCATAACACAAATTTGAGAGAACACATTTGAAGGTTGTAAACCCTAATTCCCTTTATTTAAAACCTTGTTTTTTTTTGTTGAAATGATAATTGTTGTCAACACAAATCTGATGAAGAGGTATGTACGTCTGCTCAACTTCTTTATTCGACCTTCCATTGCATACTTTCATTCATATTTTCCATCTCTATAATATATTGTTTCGACTGTGGTTGTGTTGATATGTCTTCTCTTCCCATTGATAATACCCTTTGAGACCACTGAACCTCCATGTTTTTCTTCTCGTGTTACATTTTCCAAGGATTATCTTCTTTTCATTTCTATTATGTTGAGACAAAGGTGTTGGAAACACAACCACCACGTTGGGCTACCACCGGTCGTCGTGAGCTTCATCTTCTCCTAGGGGAATGTTATCTTTCCTCAAATTTATTTTTTCTTGCTTTTGATTTTAAAATGACTATTTATTTAGCTTTTCATACATGTTTAGGATTTAATTTACTTTTGGGACATCAAGCTATAGTCTGATCATCAAGTATATATGATTTTTCACTTGAAAAGAGTTTCATTGGCTTGCATTTATTATTATTTTTCATGACATAAGCTTCCATGAATGTTGTGCGAAATACCTTTGGTATTGAGAATCATCATCAGAATGCGTTTCTAGCCCATGCATTTAAACTCCCGTGGTTTATGAAATATGTCACACTGATAACTTACTTTGCCTATTTGTTGGCCAATTAGCTTAGCAAAGTAATTGTGTTGTCAAAATACTATGGAGTCTAATTTGCAGTACTTTATGATTTGGATATTAGTGGCTTTAATTTAATTAGTGGCTTTAATAGAATAGTTAAAACTAATAGAAAATGCTTATAATAGAATAATGACTTTGATGGAATAGTTACAACTAATGGTTTTTGTAGAGTACTGGCTTTAATAGAATAGTACTTTTAGTGTTTAACCATTGCAATTGTTACAACTAGTGGCTTTAATTACAATGGATTTGATATGTTATAATTTATACAAAATGGTAGACTATGACAATTCAAATTGGTTTGCTAACGGTTGCATTAGAGAGGCATTCCTTTTCCTTGTCCTGTTGCTCTATTTTGCCCTGTGATCAACCAATAGTAGACCAATTTTTATCACTATTTGGAAGGGTGCAGAGAGCAAATTACAATATAAATTGTGTCTGATTTTTCACCGTGTTTTGGGAAAACTCTGATTTGATAGAGCTAAGTATTCCTTGTGTTTTCCTGCTATCTTTTAAGCTTACTACATCTGGTCCTCAACAGGTTCTTTCAGCAAACTCCTTTGATCAATCTGTAAAAGAAGTTGTCGTAAGTATCCTTGGGAGCACATATAGCTTGTCTTTAAATACAAAAGAGAGTAATATTCATGCCAATCCTGTGGATTCTAAGCATGGAGGGTTACTCTAGTTGGATACTGCATGGTCCATACTTTACGATGATTGCCTTTCTGCACTTAAGAAAGGAAGGTACATTTTTAATGTTAACCTTTTTTAAATCTTTTCACTTTTATTATTTAACCTTCTGTTAAACGTGTTATGGGAAAATTCTTGCTAGAAACAATTGATTATTGAGGGTTCATATTAAGATATATTTCTAATGGTGTGTGACAAGTGCTTCAGTATTTCTACTATGTGTCATAACAAAGGTTTGAAATACCAAATAGTAGTTATATAACTTTTTTTAAAAATGAAATGAAATATTTCCCAAATGTTCTTATAATAAGTTCTACTATCATAATGGTACGCTTCAGATAAATTTCTCACGTCATACTTTCCATTTGTTGATTTATGGTTTACTTATGAAGTTTCTTCAAATTGACTTATGTTGCAGAGCCAAAGAATAAGAGATAATATTTTAAATTGCTACTAGGACTTGGAATGCTACTAGGACTTGGAATAGGTAATATATAACTAATAATGTTTTTAGATGATCCTACTATATATCATATATTTAAAGTTTTGTCTGAGTGAAGGTTGAATTTTCCTACTACAGGTTTAGGCATTACATTGGTTGCACTGGGTATTCTTATAGTTCGATGCCTCTCCAGAAGAAAATGTGCTCCTTCAGACCTCCAAAATCAATCGAAAAGAAAATCATTTAATGATGAAATTGATCCATATCGAAATCAAGATTGGGAAAACATCACTGTCTACTTTAAAATACCTCTGTTCTCTTATAAGGAGCTAGAAGAAGCTACAAATAATTTCCACCAAGCCAACCAACTTGGAAGTGGAGGCTTTGGAATAGTTTATTACGGTAAATCATTCCCTTTCCAAACTTCATTCCCTATTGGAACATAGATTAGTTGTATACCTATACTGCATTTCCATGCATCATGTTGAGAAACTGATTATTATCCGGTCCGATTCTTATCAAATAACAACCAGGGAGACTGCAAGATGGACGAGAAATTGCTGTTAAGCGTCTGTACGAGCACAACTGGAGGCGAGTAGAACAATTCACCAATGAAATTGAGATCCTTGCTCGCACCCGCCACACAAATCTCGTGTCTCTCTATGGATGTACTTCACATCACAGCGATAAACTACTGCTTGTCTATGAATATGTTCCAAACCATACTATCTAGCAAGAACAGACACACTGCCTTGGTATATCAGGATGAGAATTTCCATAGAGACGGCAAGTGCATTGGCTTATCTGCATGCTTCTGGCATCATTCACCGTGATGTGAAAACCAAAAACATTCTTCTTACAAACAGCTTCAGCGTCAAAGTTGCAGATTTTGGTCTTTCAAGACTATTTCCTCATGATATCACCCATGCTTCCACGGCACCACAAGGGACACCGGGTTACGTTGACCCGGACTATCATCAATGTTACCAACTTACTAACAAGAGTGATGTATACAGTTTTGGTGTTGTGCTCGTTGAGCTAATATCATCTAAGCTTGCTGTTGATATGAACAGGCATAAGGATGAGATTAACTTGTCAAACCTAGCCTTAAAGAAGATCCAGAAGGGTGAATTTAGTGAGCTGGTGGATCCCAATCTTGGTTTTGATTCAAACAATTAGGTTAAGAGGATGATAGTTTCGGTGGCAGAGTTGGCTTTTCAATGTTTGCAAAGGGAAAAGGAATTGAGACCTTCCATGGATGAGGTTTTGAGGGTGCTGATGAGAATTGAAAGTGGGAAGGATGAGCCTGAGCATATAGTTGAAGACGTGCATCCACCTTCACCAGATGGAAATGAAGATGAGATTGGATTATTCCAAAAAACAATGCGACAGCCTTCACCTAAAGCTGTGGTTGATGAATGGAATATATGTTCTGATCATTAGTTTTGAATATTGGTAATTAATTAGGCTCGTCCATCTATGATAGATATTTTTAAGAGTGTGGATTTAGCTGAAAAAGATGGCATTGTTTCAGAATTTTCTCCTGGGGTTTTCGTACAGGTAATTCTCCGTGCCTTTCATTTATGTTGAACCTGAAAGCATTTGTATTTCAGCTCGGATTCTGTTTCTTTTAATTTCTGTCATTAGGGCATTTGTGTCATCTGTAGTTCTAGGCTTGCATTCATTAGAATGTAAATAAATTAGTCTACAAGTGAATCATTGGTGTACTCATTATTTGGTATCATGGTTATCATTTCCAGATAGTGATGTTGACCCGTTCGTAGGTAGTGAGAGGTCCAGTATACCACAAACTGTAATTTAAGTTAAATAATTTTACTATATTGAAATAAAAATTAAATGGAATTTATAAAGACATTCTAAATAATAAATTAGTATTAGTAAGTCATAATCTTAATTGATTGAGATCCACTTCTAGGTATCATATACTCCCTCCATCTCACTTTCGGGTAAAACTAAATAGAACTCAGAGTAGTTATAAAATTCATCTAATCGTAGGCTTGTAATAACTATGCTCCTCATTACAATTTAGTTATTATACACTTGTTTGTTACTGTTTTTGATGTTTTTCCCTGATTTGGTTCTTTTGATAAAAAAATGCATTGTCTGGACAAACTACCTATGTCCACTGCAAAGCTGGACGGGGTCGCAGCACAACTATTGTTATTTGTTATCTGGTTAGTTCCCAATCATAGAAGAGTAGAAAAATCAAAGTATGACAGGTTGGTGCTGTTATTTTCTTACATTGTGATTGATAGAGAGTGTTACTTAGATATTTTAATTAGTATTTTAATATATTAGTTAGCATTTTAATATTCTAGAAGTTCCTTTTTTCACATTCTCTACCTTGAAATCGCAATCCTTTGCACCAGTGTGATCCGCGTGTTTCCTTTTAGAAGCATCAGCAGGAACTTTATTAGGTTGAACTACTGGATTAACTTGAGAACTTTGAATATGTCTAATCTCTTCTCCATTTGAAGTATTATGTTTCATTGATTTCTCACGTAGCTTTGATAACCTTCTTTTATGTTTCTTTCCATTATTATGACCTTTCAAACACTTGGGACTAAACTTAATATCACAAATTTCACAACGTATCGTTGGTTCTAAGCACTTCTTATTAGCATAGTATTTAGGGGCTTGTTGTGATGAGCTATTCTTATCAGCATGGTGTTCTGACATTTGATGAGGTAAGCACTTGTTATCACCATAGGCTTCCAGCTTCTGATGTGGTAAGGCCCTTTTATCAGCAAAGTCTTTTGCTCTTTGTTGCAGTAAGCACATGTTATCAGCATCGGCTTTCAGCTTCTGATGTGGTAGGGGCTTTTTATTAGCAAAATCTCTAAAAGGAGCAAGAAAAATAAAGTTCCAGTTGAAATCTCTAAAAGCAAAGTCATGGATAACACCGAAGCCAAGAATCATGGTTTTAAGCACGAGATTGAAGGAGCAACAGGAGTTAAGTACATGAAGATGAATGATGGGACAAGAAGGTTTGTGAAGTCATCAAAAATTGAGGTTAATGATGTGTCGAATTTGGTCAAATCTCTAGTGCAAACACCTAAAATAACACTCTCTATCAGTGATCTTTTTGGTGTAGGTGCACCACAAATTGATGTCACCTGATGATGCATATGAATATGTAAAGTCAATTCGGCCGAGAGTGCTTTTAACTTCCTCTCAGTGGCAAGTAAGTATGTAGCTTGTATTTTTTTTTATCACTAGTACTATTTAAGTTTTGTAGATTTTGCAGCTCTAATTTACATATCATGGTTTTGGGTAAATTTGTTGCTGAAAATGAACAAAATTTATATTTACTATGAATGGGAATACTCTTTTTCTGAATGGGATCCCCAATTTTAATAACCCATCAATATTATTATTTTTTAATCCATTTTTTATTTCAATAATTTTTTTTGTGTTGGCAAAACAATAAGGAGTTGTGATGGTTAATCTTCATTCATTTAATTTTTGAAATTTCAGGCTGTCCAGGACTACTATCGCCACCTTATTGTGAGAAGGGTTGTCGGATTTTTGCATGCAGCTGATCTATTAGTAAAGGCTTCTGAGGTCGCAGCAGCTTCACAAGATCTTGTAAAATTTGATGACAATTTTTAATTCATTTTTGGCACAATGTTACTTATTCATTTTTGGCACAATGATACTTATTTTATAAGATTATGATTTGATATGTTTTCAGATTTTTGTATTACATGACATGATTATGGAACTTTCATTTTACATGATTATGAAACTCACGTTTTTTCGATATTATAATGTTTATTTGATATTAAGTTTTGGAATTAATTTTACTACGCTAAAAAGCGATAGAAAAAAATTAAAAAATAAACTATAAATAAAAATATTAATATAACTATTTTAGTAGATAATAATTTAAATAAAAGAATATATTATAAAACAATATAATACAATATATAAAAATTAATAATGAACCGTCAAGATATCACATTCACGACAGTTTTAAACTGTCACAATCAACAATGGTAACAAAAATCAAAAGGATATTCACGACTGTATTTAACTGTTGTCATTTCCAATTTATGTCAGTTCCAACCAGTCGTGAAATAGAGTTCACGACAGTTTTAAACCGTCACAATCAACAATGAAAATAAAAATCAAAAGGCTAGTAACGACGGTCTTTAACCATCGCTATCTCCAGTTTAGGTCAGTTCAAACCCGTCGTGAAGTATAACGACGGTTGTGTGTGACAGTTTTTTCAACCGTCGCTAAACAGCCTGGGGACACACGTTTCTGCGACGGTACTACAACCGTCGTAGAATGTAATTGGTGGTGGTTTTAACCGTCGTAACCTGCCAAAATAACCGTCGCAGTCCATCGTTTTTCTTGTAGTGATTTCCTTTGATAGGGATTTGATGATAGACTTTTAGGTTGAAACCTATGCATGACAACTTCTAGGAGTTCCCTGTTCAAACCTCAACCATAGGATGAATCCATGGCATGATAACAGTAGGACTTGATAGTCTCCCTCCTAGTTGGGCCTGTTCTCTTCTCATCTCAAAACAGTTTAAGATACAGTAATCATGAATGATTTCTTTCGTACGTTACGAGCCTTAAGCTATCTGAGAAAGGATTGTGGGAGAGTTCCTTTTCCACAGTCTGGATGTTTAGTATGGTACCCTTTGGGTGACATGCGACACATTCACTCTCAGGTCATAGTCTCTAGTGCGGTTGAAATCACAAACACAATAAAAAAACACTTCTTTCAAAACAGGAAATAAACCGTAGTTTCCCGAACTACGTGAGCTCTGATCTCTCATGCCTGTTGAGAGTACGTAGACACAAGATGGCGATGTCTTGGCGAGCTACCTTCCCCCACAATCCTTCGTAGGCCGAACTACGTTGACTCTGATTTTTCATTCTCTGATGAGAATACGTAGGCATAAAGTGCGACGCTTTGCCGAGTCATTTTTCTTTTCTTTTTCAGCCAGCCTTGATAGGTAGATAGAATAAAACCAACCCGTCCAAGTAAACAAACAAGCGTGGATCCCGTCGAGTACGACGGACGTGAGGGGTGCTAATACCTTCCCCTTGCGTAACCGACTCCCGAACCCAGACAATGGTTGCGATGACCTTGTCTTACCCTTATTCGTCAGGTTTTTCCGATCGTTTCCTTTCCCGCTCTGAGGGATAAATAACGAAAGGTGGCGACTCTTCTGTCATGCCAGCACCTTATTTTCGCGCAAGCGACAACTGGCGACTCTGCTGGGGACTGCGATAGTTCCCTACACGAGTCTTGCCTTGGGTTTTTTCCTAGCTGTTTGGGGTCATCCCCAGCAGCTGGCGACTCTGCTGGGGAAATACAGCATCTAGGGACTTTTCCCATCCCTTATGCTGGGACCGTTTCCCATCCCCAACGCGAGTCAATCCTAGCGCTTAGGTGTTTATCTGTTGGGTGTTATGCATATGTGTTTTATCTTTCCGCACTTTACTTTTCCGTACTTTTACCTTTCCGCATTTACTTTCAGCACTATATTATTATGATTATTGTTGTGGGAGAGGGAGGTTACTATGAGTGAGAAGCCGGACCTGGGCTTGAGTATGCAACTAGACATAGTTGCGGAGAGTAGTAGACGAACCTGTCTGCTGAGCAGACACAGTTCCCTACGAAATCTGCGCTCAGACGAGGTTCTCGCCGAGGTGCTCCTTTCCGGTCCTGAGGATCTGAGGGGAGTCCAGACGTGAGGATTGTTGACTCTGGGGACCGATCATTTGGAAGTCAACTAAGTGAGGCCTCTTCATGACTTGATGATGCCACTCCTTCTGGGAATCGTATCGTCACTCATGAAAGTCTGTGACGCTGATCACCGCATAGGATGCCGTACCTTTGTCCGTGGATTAGGTCCATACCTGTGAGCGGGATTGGGTTTATTGCAGGAAACTTTGACCTCCAGACCACCTGGTTTTCTTGACAGTGGATCAGTTATGTTGGTACCAGGTTTCTCGGTTGCAGATTTGTCTGTTCTTGATAGAACAAGTTTTGATCAGAGGACCTTATCATCAGGTGTACGTCTGTTCTTGATAGAGCAGGTTTTGATCAGAGTATTGTCATCAGTGGTTTGTTCTTGATAGAGCATATTTCTGGGGTCTGAAGATCTCATCAGCAGATGTGGTTTGTCATTGATAGAGCAAATTTTGAGTGGGGTCTGAAGATCTCGTCAGCAGCTGTATGTTTGTTCTTGATAGGGCAGAGTTTTGATTTGGGGTCTGAAGACTTCATCAGCAGATATTTCTTGATCATGCATCCGAGGTCCTTATTATCAGACATTTGTTCTCGACAAAGCAGAATTTTGATCCTATGTATATCGTCCTGTCAGATGGTTGTTCTTAGCAGATCAGATCAGTGGTCTTACACCGGGGTTTTCTTCTCATCAGTGATTGTTGATACCGAATCTCCACAACAGCAGTTACCTGGATATATTATTGCATGACTGCATTTTGCATTAGTTCGCATATTCATGATTGCATTCCATTAGCATGTGTCTGTGCTGCAGGCGCATTTCGTACCCTGATTCTGGTGTCCCGAGCAATATGAGATATTTTCTTCCATGAATGGATCCAGTCTTATCACTGCATTGACACTATGTTGGCACGTTGACACCAGAATTAGGAGGGATCTCCTAAACGTACAGACACCCATGGCATTAGCATAATTCATCTTGCATGACAGAAGTCGGGGCTTGTCTTCTAACCCTTATGTTTGCAGGTTCGACTCAGAATCGAGCAACTCAGACTAATGGAGCAGGTACAAGCTGAGTTGGGGAAAATCCAAAGCCAGTTGGGGCAGGTCATGAATGACATACAGGCAATGCGCCTGGACCAGCAAGTACTTAGAGAGGAGAATCAGCAGTTGCAGAATCAGTTGAGCTTTCTCATGGGAGTGGTGAGAAGTATGCTAAAAAAGGAGAGTGAGCGAGTACTCGAGGTGGAGACCAAAGTGCTTCCTCCATTGCCGCCAGTGCCACCTGTGCTGAGGCCAGGTGGACCTCATGGATCCTCTACACAACATGAAGCTCAGGACCTGTCTCGTTAGCAGCCGCACCATGCATCTCAGAATAACCCTGAAGGTCATAATCAAAAGAAGAAGCTACTTGATAGAGCTATGGACCCAATACCTGTGAGTTATGCCCAGCTGTTGCCACTGTTGATTCAGAACCTTGTTCTCAAGCTTCGGACTTTGGATCCACCGGATGACGTGTCACCAGACTTTGATCTTAGCACACATTGTGATTTCCACTCAGGAGCACCGGGGCACCATGTTGAAACATGTAAGACTTTCAAGAATAAGATTCAAGACCTTATTGACTCAAGGACAATTAGGTTCATACCGGTCGGCATGAGAGCATTGGGAAAGTTTATCCCGTACCGTGCAGAAAAGGTGAATGATTCCACTCCTTTGCCTGAAGCTAAGAAAGATCTTGAATATGTCCCGCGAATTTTGGTGACTGAATCGCCTCGCTCGCAGATTCTACCCGGATCGAGTTCAAGGACGCAAGCGGCCGTTGCCATTCAGAAACGACGACCTCTTACTCCTTGGCGGAAAGAATACCAGCACCAGAATCGAAAGAGGCCTCGCAACCACTTGGAACGAAGGAATGCTCCTTTCCATCCAGTGCCTGTGCCGTATAGCCAGATTCTTCCACAATTGATTCAGAAGTCTTGGGTGGAACCGAAAGCTCTCAAGCCCGTGCCAGAGCCTTACCCTCCAGGGTACAATCCCCATGCTCATTGTGGTTACCATGGTGGATCTCCGGGGCATTCAACTGAAGATTGCAAAGCTTTTCAGGAGAAAGTGCAACAGTTGATCGATAAAGGGTGCATTTCCTTTCCAGAAGGAGTTTTGGTTGTGCGTGACAACCTCTCAGCTGTCTGAGCTTGCAGATTCAGAGGGTTATTTCCAGAAGTCAGTGGTCCACACAGGCAGACGTCCTCAGCATTGGCAGTCCTCAGATTTTTTACCATTTGTATTTGTAGTTTCTTTTCTGTTAGTTACTACTTGCTGTTAAACATTGTATGTTTCGAATGGTAATATTAATAAAGTGAATATGCATTTTTTCTGAACTAATCATGTCGTTGTCACTCATTTACTGCATTGCACTGACACTTGCATTTTATTCACTCCACTTTATCACTATGATTAGCAAAGATTGGAGGGAGGATGATGAAACTGAATACTCATAACCAATGATCGTATTGCTTTCAGATAAAACCTTGCCGATGACGTATAAGGCATTGTTTCAAATCCCTAAACACCGGAGAGATAGGGAAGAGAATCCCTTGTTAACCACTTCGAGCCGAGAAGTAGGAGTTCCTTTCGGACTTTTTAACCCTCACATCTTAACCCGGGGCAGGGTAGTTGTCAGTTAGCTTGATCGAGCGTTCAAGTCTTATAGAGGAGTGTTGTCCTTCGAGGACCAATCGCATCATATTTCCTCGCCAGAGGTCGTACCTCATCAACCACAATGGTTAAACCTCACCAACCAGGAGTGAAACAGTTATAATCCTTTCGGAGCAATCAAGACAACCAGTGTCGCACGACTCGTTCCAAAAGAAGAAAAAAAAGGGAATAAGAAAGCCCG